CAAAGCCTAGCATTTTAAACATTTGTATTTTGCAGGTTGCTTTGACAATCACAAACAGAGAACCGATAGTAATACTCTGAATCTTAAATGTCTTCAGAGAATAGAGGAAAGGGTATACTAGGTTATAAGTGAAGCAGCATGTATCTCCCTGTTTCCCATTGGTTGTTTATGCAACATCAATACAACACTTTAGAAGCCAAATTACTAAACAAGCTGCCAATTAGGCTTGCAGTCAGCTGGATAGATTAGTAGCTAAGAGAAGCAGTTACAAGATTTTCATCTCTTGAGCCAATTACTCAAGTGAATTACCATCCACAGAGCTCCTTGGGAATTTAAGACAGAAAGACTTTTTCAGCTATGATAGGCATAAATGAGACCCAGGATAAAGTTAGAGTTGTCAGATCATGTAGATTGGCCAACGAGGCAAAAGAAATTCCACCTACGAGAAGACGTACAGTATTTAGGATTTAGAAATGCTGGAAAAGAAAATAATAAGTGTGCAAATTTGGTTAAATTTATGTATATTAAAGTTATAAGGGGAGGCAATCTGAACCAACATTGATCCAGCATAGTATAGAATTCTGCTATGGTAAAATGTTTAATTTATGTTCTTTTACATGTATTTATCATTAAAAGTTTTAAATAAGTAAGATCAGACAATACAGAAAAAGAAAGAGAAACTATTTACTACTACAACTTTCATAATGACCTTTAACTGGGTGAAACAGTGCATTTTAGGGCAACTATTCTGAACTAAAGTATCTCAAATGGGCTAATTTACAGAATATATCCAAAAAGCAGGACCGGGGGATTAAAATCTGGAAAAGTTGTGGCTGCTTCAGTGCTGCTGGCTGCTGCTGCACTGTTGCTGTGGCCATGGGAGGTTCATTGTCAATGTTCCATGGCAGTTTCCCAGCCAATCTCACAATCCCTGATTCCCCCATCCAGCAGCATCCACTTCCCCGCCTCCTGAAAAGGAAGGAAAGGGAAAGAGGAACAGTCGTGTACCCATCATGGCCCAAGCCACCCACTGCATACTTCCTCAACCTGTGTGCCAACTTCCCCAACTCATGTTGCTCTCCCTTCTTGCCTTCCCCAACCCATACAGTACTTCTTGCACACACCCATACATACACCCTTCCTGACCTGCACCTGTGTGCCTTCCTTGACCCATACAATACCTCTTCAGAACACACACCCAAACCCTTCCCAACCTATATCCCCAACCGGCTCGTACACATCGCTGTGACCCCTGTTCATGTCCTTGTCCTGCACCTTTTCCTGCACACCCTATTTGATCCATGAGGGAGCTCTTACACAACCCCATGACTCTTAGTCACCCTTCTTTACCTGCAGCCCCACTGTAGCTCCTGACCCATACAGCATCTCACACACACTGGAACTTTTCCTGACCTGCACCACCCATCTGCACTGCATCTCTGGTGCAGTGCCCACTCATACGCCTTGCAACCCATACTACATCTTTCATGCACCCCACATGCCATTCCTGACTCTACAACTTGCTCCCTCCCCCTTAGCAGCAGCCACTTACCTGTTTGAATGTTGTTTGAATGTTTATTTAATTTGTATGCCGCCCCACTCCCGAGGGACTTGGGGTGGCTAACAATCAAAAGGGGGGAAGG